AGAGGGGAYCTTGTGCCACCAAACCTGCCTGGGCTGCGCTCCTTGTCACACCACTGCTGCTGAGCTTGAGTGTGGGACACAAACCAGCGAGGACTGGGGCACCAACAGGAGCATTTTGGGGGTTTGAGCAGGGAAACATCGCTGTGGTCCAGCCAGCCAGGATCAAGCCTGCTCACTGCCTCTGTGCTGAGCGCTCCTGCCTCCCTCTAGCACTCTTCCAATCTGAAACAAGGCTCCAAGAGCTGGGGAGAGGGTGAGGAACAGCATCATTTCCTGGACAGCCCCATTTCCTGGCCCAGCCTAGGTGTCCAGGGAGCAGCAGGTCCCTTATCCCAGTGTCACAGAGCTGCCCTGTGCCATCACCTGCCCCTCTGCCTGTGCAAGCACCACGCTCCCGCTCCCATCAATCAGCACAGACCAGGTGTCTGGAAGCATCTCTTGCCAATCACCTTTTATTACCTTTAAAAAGCCAAGAAACCCAGAACAAGACAAAAACTGAGACCGTGTGAACATCATGCAATGGATTCACTTTAAAGCAGGCTGGGGTAGGGAGGGGAAGATCAAAAGTTATGTTAGAGTAGGAGCATGGCTAAATCCGTGTCTGAAGGGCAGGGCTGTCACTGTGGGGTTGGTGGTGGCTGCTGTGAGTGACCAGACGGATGCTGAAGCAGGAAATGGAAACACACTCATGAGACACCGCCCCAGGTCACCCTGGGTCTGGCTCTGACGTGGTGATGACAGTGAGAAATGCTCCTAACTCTCGTCCTGGGTGCGTTCTGCCTGGGCCAGGTCTCTCTGGAGAGGAGCAGCACAGGGACTGCTGCTCCCAGGGCCCTTTGGCTCAGCCCTGTGGATCAGGGGATGGAGCTCAATCAGTGCTGTGGATGTTATCCAGCAGCGGTGACGCCATCACGCTCTGCCCTTCAGCCTCGCTCTGCTGCCCTCAAAATTCATGGCACAAACCAGGGCAGAACTGCCTTCTCCAAAGGATGTGTTTTGGAGAGTTTCAGCTAGCAYGGAAATAAATCTGCATCTTGTCAATCAGGTGGATGTGACAAAACACATGCCCTTATTTTCCTGAGGTATAGCCAACATTTGGGTTCATTACATTTAATGGAGTAGGGTCACCCATAAAGTTATTCATAAGGTATTTTCTGAGTGGTTTTCACCTTCTCTTTGAAAAAATAAATTGTATCAGCATGTTCACGAGGTACAAGTGGGACTGGCATTTCAGCTGTTATTATGTTATTAACTTTTTTAACCTAATAATTTTCAATCAAGAGTGAGAAGCAATTTTCACTCACTCCAGTGACCAGAGTTGGGAGATTCTGCCAAGTGTTCTCRTAGGGTTCACCTTGACAGACACCTAATTCCATCCCAAATGGAAACATTACCCCCGACACTCTCATTGTGGTTACTGAGAATTTCCATTTCCCCTTCGGTTGGGATTTAATTTAGAAGGCAAAGACTTCCTAAGCTAYGGGAGAGTAAAGATAGATGGTATGGGAGAAGAAGGCTGATGAAATGTAGTTGACTCCGGATCTGAAATATTTTATCCCTCCTCAATGTAGGTTAAATTATTCTTCACCTTTCCCACATCCATAATTGTCGCTGATCTTGGACCAACTCAAAACCCTACTACTGAGTTCAGTAGACTCAAAATTGCCACTAGAACTGGAAAAAGAAAAAAAAAAGAGATTTTGTTAGTGTCCATATACAATATCCCAAGACTATACACAGCTATGAGATACAGCAAATTTAAGAAAGGCAATTTTTTTTCTCATCACTGAGTATTTATTATATATAACAAATACATGAAAAAGAAAAAACTATATTGTGTGATATAAATAGTTTATTTACATTACAGAAAAACATCAAGACAATGTATACTATTTCAAATATATCCATACATAATCAAATATAGCTGTAGTACATGTTCTCATTGGTGTAGATTACCACAAATGCAAGGCAACATGTGTAGATCTTGTCTTAATCTTTTGTCTATAATACTGTATTTTGTAGTCCAAGCTCTCTGCAGTTAGTTTTGCCATTGTGGAAACATGCGCTCTTTAAATTAACCTTGTCGATGCTCTTGTCGTGTTGTCTGAACTGTAGTGCCCTGTGTTTTGCTTCTGTCTGTGGATTCTGTTGCTCCTGGGACATTTCCTGGAAAAGAGAGTTGTGAGAATACACAGCTTTTGGCAACACATCTGCCCGAGAGGTGGTGAGGGTGAGGGGGGCACCCTCCAGCCCTGGGTGGGTTTCCTCCTCACTGAAATGGAACGGGCTGGCTCATGGCAATGGCACCACAAAAAAAAAACACCACCACCACAACCCCCCAAAATAGTGTGAACAAAGTAATGGCAAGGGAAACCTTCAGATTCCTGAGCACTGGCCACTCTTGCTGCACTGCAATGGTCCCAACTGCACAGCGCTGCTCAGCTTTAAAKAACAGATTTATTTCCAGCGAGGCGCAGGTTTCTTAATTTCCTGGGAAGACCCAGGATGGTCTCGTGCTCACCTGGTCGGCATCCCAGGTTGGAGAAATATTTGCAAAGTGTCCCTAAGTGTCTGCAGCCCCTGTGAGGCTCCATGGAAATGCAAACGCTCCATGGAAATGCTCCCTGGAAATGCAAATGCTCCATGGAAATGCTCCATGGAAATGCTCCATGCTCAGCCCACGAGCAAACACCACTCACAGGTGCCTGCCCTGTGCCACAGCAGCGTGGGTCAGTGTGGAAAGCCCCAAAACTGAGATTCCTTTGGAGCTGCAGGGGCAAACCCCTCGTGCCTCAGGATCTCAGGTGCTCCTCAGCAAGAGCACATTTCACTTTTCCCCTGCAGCAGCACCATGTGGGCATGCCATGTTTTCCCCTAATGGAAAGCTAACGTGTTTCTGGCTCCCTCCCATGGAAAGGCACCCTCTGGCAGAAAGCACGGAGAAGTTTAATCCCAAGGGAGGCCACAGGAAGCTCTAAGCAGGTGAAAGCCAAGGGTGGTTTATGGYAGAAATTATGGGCAGCTTCACAAAAAAGAGTGAAACTCTCTTGGAGTGCCGTGAAAAGAGGCCCCACAGTGCTCCACACCATCCTGACATGGAAAAACATTCCCTTGGCAYGGGGATGACTTGTTTTTCTGTTACAGGAGGGTTTCAGCAGCACCCTGTAAAACCCCATGGGTTATGCACCAGGGAGAGCCCACCCTCTCAGTGCAGCGGGAGCTCGGAGCATTTGCCTGCAGTTCTGTGTTCAAGACCAGAGCAGTGTGAAATACACTTTTACTGACCCCTTAAAATAAAAAAGTCACTTTCCACCCCTCTATTGAATGGGAGTGATATCGTTTTTGTGACGTCAACCRAAAGGCTAAACAAGAGCATAAGAACTTGGGAAGCATTTCAAAAAACGCTGGAACACAATTATATAAGCGTCTAGCAAAATATGGGTCAGACTGTCCTGACTTTTAAGCCTCCAGGACCACCCCCTCATGAGAAGCTGCATGGCTSTGGGCTATATTTTGCCTGGCTCCTTCCTGGGAGGCAGGGAAGCRGGCTGCTATCATTACTGCAGGAAAAGCCAGCCTGCGCCTCCTGCGCTCTCGGGGGTCACGGCACCGCTTTCATCGCCGAGCTCAGGCAGACTTCAGCCGCTCTGCGATTCATGACAAACTCGTTATTCACTGCCAGCTCCTCAAAAAGGCCATCAAACGCTGGGAGTGAGTCAGGGAGCYGCTGTTAGCAAACACAGGGCTGATTCAGTGCCTGTGCACACCCAGAGCCACCCTGCCCGTTGTCCCCTACAGCCGCACCTCGTGGAGCCCCACCAGGATTTAGAGCCCTGCTCCACCCCAGTGTGGGGACATGCTGAGCAGGGGTGGGGAACCAGGGCACAGCAGGCACAACCTGACTGATTTTCTACAAAACACGGAGGAAGCAGTGTCTGGGGGATGATCAGGATGGTCAGCAGTCCCAGGGGATGCAGCTGAGCATGAGGGATAGCAATTGCTCCAGCTGGAAGCGAGGAGAGCAGCATCTCCCCCAAACTGACACAGCATCTGCACAGTCACTTACTTCAGGTTCGTGAAAATGAAGTCAAATGTACAGATTACTCCAATTAAGATGATGAAAAACCAACTTTAAAACAAAAATGCCCATGTTTTAACTGTACATTACCAATGGCTGGGAGCTTGGCAAGGTCCCAGGGCCAACCATCAACACCATGCCTGCTTACAGCAATGATATTGTATTTACAGGTGAGCTGTGACTGAAGAGCAGCGGGGTTTCTTAAGGGGGGAATTGGTATTTAACCARCTTTTTAGACTTAATCATCTGCTCAAAAGGAGTGATAGGTTTTCCTTGGTCCTTAACTCTTTAATCAAAAGCCCTTTGTAGTGCACTGTGTGGGGGATGCACTCATTTCTGAACGCAGCAGTTACGTGGATGTRAACCTGGAACTGGAGCACAGGCTGCCCTCCCTCCCCCTCTCCCTCCACTGAAGCTCTGCTCACAAGCCTGAGTTACTCACGATGTGATTCATAGCAGGTAAAACACGTTATGCATTCATTTTTAATCAAGTTATTTCTTCACATAAATAAGCTGCTGTGACTAAACATTAGGGAAGCACTAAAAATGCAAARCTGTAAAGAAAACTGCTGAGAGCCATTATGACACTAGGCCGTACCTGTACGTTTTGCCATCCCCCTTCACTTTTATCACTGCTTCTTTTTTTTTTGCCTTATCTCTAAGCTGAAACTCCTTGGGCAGACTGTGCCTTGCTGTTTTACCCCTTGGCCTCTGGTTCCCTACTCCTCCACCATAGAAGCTTATTCCCACTGCTGGCAATAGTGGTGASCAGCCAAGCAGCCAACTCTTGCAGGAACTGAGTCACTTAAACACGAATGATCACTTCTGTTGGTTGCATTTTCAGCTGAGTACATCCTGACCGGGTTGTGTGGCTACAGAAATGCTGATGGTGGCCACAGAGCACTGGAAGCCAAGGAAGGGSCAGGGGCAAACCTCAGCTGTCAGCAGCCCATTTATTCAGACTGATTAAAGGGTCGATGCAACTACAGCCCTAAAAATCCCCAGCACTTGCCCAGAGCCTTCCAGCCATGGAGGACACCCCTGTGGATTTGCACTGCTGTACAGGTAAGATTTTAAGAGTAACAACAGTGAGGATGGCTGGAAAATTACAGTGGTGGTTTTGTRGGGCTCAAATGGACACTGCACCAAACTCACTGGATAAATTAATTAGGTGAAGTTGCACTGAAATGAGCAGCAAAGAATTAGGCTGCAGTGCCCTCTGAATGGTTTCCCTTCTTTCTCCCAGGAACCTGGCAAGGTGGTTTCAGCACTCTCAAGAATTGAAGGTGTGGAGTTTAAACCAGTACAGTCAGGCTCTCCAAAGCAGAGAACTTCACAAACTCAATTGCTCATGCATATGCTGCCACAATGCTCTCTTGTCATGTGGATTTCTCTCAGGCCACTTAAGAGCACACTGTTGAAAATGTATCTCAAATCATTATGCTGGGATGGAGGATGCTCTGCAGTAATTACATGCATTACAGAAAGAAGTCGAAAGATCATAAATTGACTTGGTTACAAAGTGTGGGGGGAAAAGGTACTGTGTCAGTGTGAAAACACTGTGATGGGTAATTTGCATTACAGTACCAGATCATTCAGAGCTCTCTGTCTTTATTCTTCACTATAAAGTACTTTGCTCACTGCATYAAGGTGACAAAACTACAGTCACTTGACAAAACAATACACATTTGTTCCATTATCAGTTACTACACCACCTTCTTCCTCTCACTGCCCACTGTATTTTTGGTTGTTTGAATCACCTGTGTGAACACCACCTCCTGTAATCTCTGGCCTCATTTGGTAGTTGCCAATCAAGTGATGAACTCAGTTTGGCCAAAAAAGGTTTTGTTTTATGCCTTTAGGCCAGAAAAGGATTTATGAATTTGTTTTTTGGTCTTTTCCAGAAACARATGCTCTACACTTGTCTTTCAGCCAGGTAGTGCAACATAGGGACTGAAATACAGTGGAGATTTAGTTTTGTACAGAGGTATGATACCTGGCATTTTTTATTTTAAAAAGAAAATKATTCTTAAATAATTTAAATAAATCCGTGTTGCTAGCTGAATTAATTTAACCTTGTGATTTCTAAGAGAAGCCTTTAGATGTTTGATATTGAGAATTTACCCCAAGCCCTCCCAGAGACAGTAACACGGTCCACTGGGGGAGCAGAGGAGCACGTGGAGAGGAAAGATTGCATTTACCKCTCTCATTCTGAACTGCTCTGGAGCTTTTCCCACTCACACAACCCCCTCCTCCTCATTAAAGGAAAAACCCCAAGTACATCATATATGGCTTGGTGTGCTAACATCCAGGCAAGACCCTAAAACGTGTGCAGTGCCTTTGAACAYGCACTCAAGCCTAATGAAATCATTTAATCAACGGGGCTGCAAACAGGCTTAAAAGTTTGTATGCTTTGCCTGATTAGGACTAAGGGAATGGGCCCTTGAGGAAACCAGATGGAGATATGATTAGTTTTATTAAGTGTTGATCCAGCTGCTGTATTTATGTTCCCCTTATTTATATGAACAATATTTGTCCAAGCATCTGAATACAAAACAGAGAGCAAACCTCACTTGCTGTAGGCACTGTTGCTACGTAAGTTTGATGAAGATGGAAGTAAAAATTCAGTCATAATAACGAAGGAGCACTGGCTGGCTGGACCAGATAACATCTTTGTTTTGTTGGTGAATTAAATAACATTYGTTATCAGTGGTGTCACTGCAGAAATCTCTATAATCAGTGCACATTGCAGGAAAAAACAGAAGTCTTTTCTCCTTCTACTGTAAAGGACCAGAGATACTGACCTTGTAATACAGAGGACTACAACACAGATGATAGCAATCTGGATGGTTCCAATCACAGCTGCTATTAAGACATACTGAAATCGTACTGGACCTGGAACCACATATAAAACGCTGTAGTCCTTTTTTTCACAGTGTTGTCCAGTATAGCCGGCATCGCATCTGAAACAAATATTTTTTCTCATTATATCTGCTGCTTTCAAAGAATGCTGGAAAAAAACTGTAACTGGAACAAAAAAAAATTAGTGGCTGAAGCGTAAGTTTATGTGGGTTTTGTTGCAGAATGGACTCTCACAGAGAGAGCACCAGTGTGCTCAACCTCTCAGAGGGAAGACTTCAGGTCCTCAGTGCCACCAAGGTCTGTGAGAGTGAAAAACACTGAGAGTGCCAGAAGGTGCCCAAGGGACCAGGACATAACTGGCTTCAAGTGGAACTGCTCTCACGTTGTGATGAGAACCCATTTAGCTCCTTGAACAACACACTTAAGAGTTCTCCCTTTCTTTGGGGAGGTGGGGRAGGGCAAAAAGCCATCTAGTTGTGGCTCCTTATGCAGATTACCCTAAGAAGGTGATAAGCAATCATCCAGGCTCCATATGAAATGTGATTAGATGTTCCTGAAAGTGGATACATCATTTACATCTCGTCTGGTTGCTATAAAAAAACCCTCTATTGACGCTGCAGCCATCCTGCACTGCTCACCAGCTCCCATCCTGCAGCCTGACAGCTCCACTCTGCTCTGCGATTTTGGGGCCAAGCAGAGTTTTTGCAGTTTCCTGTATCCCTGTTTCCCCTTAATTGSCCAAGCAAGATGTGAAAATCCAGGTCAATGGCAGCAGCAACTGCTGGGGACTGAGACAGATGGCTCGGGCTCCTCTCAGGTGTGTTAACCCTGATGGGTTAAGCCTTGAGCTTCCTCCCTTTTCCTCTGCATTCCCACAGCTGCCAGCACCTTGAGGAAAGGACATTTTCCAGCTGAATGGAGCACCTAAAATGCAGCAGCTGCAAAGAGCAAAATGTGCCCTGGCTGTCTGTGTGAGCCAGGAGAAGCTGGCTGAGGTTCTGCCCTGGGGAGAAAGTCTGGTCTGTGTCTTTGCTCTCCCACTCCAATGTCCCAGGAAAATGGTGCTTCACATGTAACAGTCCTTTCCACGCCACCCAGCCACTGTGTGGACTCCAGAAGTAGTGTCTGCACCCGGGTAGGGAGGCATTCACTGCAGAAACTCTACAAGGCTTTCACTGTACTCTGCTCCATGCCCAAACCTCCTCCAAAATCACCTCCCCTGCAGGAGCCACCTCTGCCCCAGCTGGGTGCCCCACCAGCATCACTGCTGCCACAGCAGGGACATACCCTGGTGGCACTCGTGTCCCTCAGGCTCAGGAGGATCCCTTGCAGTGGCCTGAGTGCTTTGTGAAAGGCTTTTAAAACACATCTAAATATAACTGAAGGTTACTGGATGGCTTTACAGTCAATTAGCATTGCTCATAACTCAATACACTTTTGGGACTTTGCTGAATAATTTAAGCCTGATGGATTTTGCAGCACAAAAGGGCCACGGTTGCCATTATTTTTAATCTAGATGAAGTGTTTCTGTAAGTCAGTATTTCCTTGCTGGCAGGACAAGGGTTACCTGCAGGACGGTTCCAGCATGTTTGTGGAGTGCTCACACTTGCCGTGCATGCAGAAGCCGTTGTAATGCTCTGGACAAGGGATGTAGATCCCTCTCGCACTTTCTTCCAGTTTRTTTGCATTCTCTGTGAACACAGGTGGAGGCAATGTTAACCTGACCATGCAGGACAAGGCGAAATGGTGGAAAGAACTCAACATATAAGAGAAAGCAAAATCAGAAGAACGAGATGTGAAAGATGTTGTTCATGGGAAGCAAGAGCAAGAGTTTGTCCCTTCAAACAGGTTGGTCGATGTGAAGATTTGCAAGGGTTTATCTCATTCTTTTACAATTTCTGTCAAGTTACAGCAAATGAGACACCAGAGAAAATAATGTGACTATTCAAAAACTGATGACAGAAAAGCACATGCAAAATACTTGATTATTTCTCTTATACTTTATGGGCTGCCTCCTCAAACTGAGACAAGGTTAGGAGAGAGACTCTGGACATTTGAGTGCAATATACCATTACAATACATTTGGTCATTCAACAGAACACACACAGAAAGATAATTTTATGGCTGAAGAAGGGCAGGAATGCAGAGCTGGTTGATCATCAGTGCTGCACCCCTGTGCCCCAGAGCCCACTGGCCTCCTCCACATCCCACGACACCCACACCTTAGATCAGTTTGGCTTTCTGAGCCTACTTGTGCAGCAGTTAAACAGTCACTGAGACAGCAAATCCTGGAAAATCCCTTTATGCTGCCAGGAAAACGGAGGCTTCGTTTAGTTTTGAGACAGGAATGTGCTCAASTTCACAGGCTGAAACACAGAGTGTTACCACCATGAACTCACATGGATTTTGTAGGCCACCAAGGTATTAATTAATCAGCGTAATTCTGGCAAAWTCTTCCATTTAACCAATACTTAGGATATCTCAAATGGTAACACTCCTTTTTCTGTGATAATATCTTCTAGCCGTGATTAATTAAAAACAAAAGAAAGAAATCTCATGATGGATGTCTGAGGAAATGTAGCTTGCACACAAGTAAGCTGAAGCATTTTTATCTTCCAAAGGAAGTCCCTGAGTGTTATAAAACAATTGCAATTTGTGTTCTGCCTCCAAGCCAGTCATGCCGGCAGCAGGCATGCTTAGGTATTATCCCACCTCTGGGAAAAGTCTGTGCAGCAGATCCAACACTCAGATTTTCATAATGAATTTCTTTTCTGTCGCTGCTGCCCAAGGAGAGTTCTAASAGTCTCTAACCACTTGCACTAATAAAGTTGGTTATATCGTCCTTGTGTGAAAACAGGCGAGGACCAGCTCCTTGCAAATGAGGACCTCTGCTATGGCCCACATTCAAATCTATTTCTGTCCAGGAAACTGCAGCAAGAAATGGGGGATCCTTATTAAGGCACGTTTTTCTTCTATTGTGGAAAACAGAATGCTGTTTCCTTGAGATCTTCCACTCCCAGAGGAACTTTGCATCCCCTGTGAGAAACAGAAGACTGCTCTGTGTGCACATGAACATGTGTGTGTGTCTCTGGTTGTTCCTTCTCAGGTACTGAGGTGTCCCTGCACCACACAGTGCCAGGATCCTTCCTCTCTCAAATCAGCCAGCAGTGTTGTTAAAACCCTAGGAAACCATTTGGTTTATTTTTATTTTTAAAGGCTCACTTCAAGATGGGGGCAAATTGTTACTTTCAGGACAGACTAATCTAGGAGCTGAAAGGGGGCCCAGGACCTGTGTGGATGTGCAGATGCTCTCCCTGTGTGTGGAGTAAATCCAGGATCATGCAGAACTTGTAATTATACCTCTCAGCACAATGTTGTGATGGAAAATGCTTTACTGAATCAAAAATGAGACAGCCCGAGCTTTGCTAGCATTTGCAGGATAAACACTTCACAGGATAAACACTTCATACAGGAACTCTTGTCACCTGGCTCAGGAGAGGCCACAAAACTTAAGACACAAATTATCTGTATCTCATTTTGACTGATAACTCCTCTGAAAGAATCAGGGATTTAATATAAAGGTGGGGGGTGGGGGAGGGGGAACAGCATATTTAGTTTGATCTGATGTTTTGGTTATTCAAAATACTGACCAAAATAAAACCATCATTTTGCTCAGGCTGAGAGGTTCCCCCTCCCAGCACATTTTGAACACCCACAAAATATTTCCCTGCCTCAAAACAGGTTATTTTTCTCATTACAAAATCCATCTTTTCGGAGCCAATGCAGAGACCCAAACACCAAGATGTTCTTTGAAAGTGCCTTCATGTTAAAACTGACTGCTCCCATTTCTGAAGGACCTGTGCACTTCTCAGTAATTCAGCTGTTGATGAGATACTACCCCTTACAAATGCATCACAGCGTTTGCATCACCATAAAACAAAAACTTTAAATTGATCCTAAAAAGAGAAGATATAAATAAAAACCATGCTGAGGTTACGAAGCAAGTAAGAACTGTACGTATCTTAAAAATTCAAACCTAAATTAAATAAATTAAGAGTTTCACTCGTAATTATAACTTTTGATGATTTATAAATTCAGCAGTGGATGCAATTTGCACTAATCAGTATCACCAAACTAAGGAGCCCCTCTACCACACCAACCTCACACCTACAGAGAGCAAAGCCAAACACAAAATAACCCACTGTTTTCCAAACACAGCAGATCTGTAAGCACAAGGCAGCGCCACAGACCAAATCCAAAATTACTCAGGTTTCAGTAATGTTAAATTCAGTGGCTACTCTTCAAACATTAGACTTGCTGCATTGTTACTGGCAACAACCTGGGGAAGTTTCATATGTGCCAGAAGGATAGATTTGTGCCTTCTTTGTGATGGACAGGATCTGAGGAAGAAGGTAGCAGTAAAAACTAGAGATAAAAATYGGACTGAGTGGGTCATTCTCTTCTATCTCTGGACAAAATAAATTCCTGCCACGTTTCTCCAAATGCTTGTCCCTTTTATTTCAAAAAAGAAATTCGCCCTCACCCTCCAGATCARTTGCATTCAGAAACCTTTTTTCTTGAAGTACTCTTCTGATCAAAAAAGTCACTTTGATGAAACCAACATCTTTTGCATTTCTGCAGCATTTTTTGCATCTTTAGCCTAACATGACATTTCATATTGTTCACATCTCTTGCTAGTGCCAGCACATGACATGATAGCCTATCAAATAAGACACACTAGTCAAAACACATTGTTTTTAAGTGTGTGGAGGCCAGATGCCACTTTGTGTTGCCTGAAACAGCTTATCATYTTGCTTCCTGGAAAAGTCTCCCAGCTGAACCCTTGCCCTCCACTTTCTGTGGATGGCAGGGAGATGCTGAGATGATGAGCTATTTCTCTGGGATAAAGTGGATCCTAAAAAGATACCCAATGTGACTGACCACCCACCAGTGATCTTGCCTTTCCTGATGGATTGCCTTCTGAAATGTTAGATCATTTAAAATCATCTTGTCTAAATTCCTTAATATCTCTGCCTGTTCCTGTCTTTCATTAAGAAGGAGGAGAAGAATTATTTAAAATATATCTTGTATCATTTTAATTTCTGGTTTAGCTATAAGGCTTTTCTTCAGTCTTTGGAAGCTGAATGTACACCCTTAGGATTKTCAGGTGACTAAAGCTGAAATTCCAAAGCTGGAGCAGTCTGCCTGGCTGCAGGATGTGATTCTGTTAACAATGAAAAGAAGGCAGCCAGACTCTTCTCTGGGCAGCCCTCAGCAGTCCCCAGCTCCCATCTGAGCTAACGTGGAGCTTCTGTTCCACAACCAAACATGTGGAGCAGTGCTGCTGACAAGAGGAATAAATCCATTAGTGCCCTTGATGGGGATTAKATGAAGCACCGTCTGGAGGGCACAGAAAATTCTTTCCAGACGTAAGTTCCTACAATCCACTTCAGAGAAATTAAAATAAAAAAATCTAGGCAAAAATAGGATTCTTATATCCAAGCAYTGACTGCCAGGCACTCAACAATTAGTTCTGCAGGGCTGATAGYTCTGTCATTCTTTGTGTCTGAATCAGTGAGACTTTCTAGGTGATTTCAAGCAAGCAACCTGTAAATTCTGATGTTAGATTTTTGGCTGATGTGCAGTGGGTGATGTTGGAGCTTTGGAAATAATAACTATTAGGCTATGCCCATATGAGAAAATATTGGCTCATGGATAATGTTAACACCTGGAGTACAGTCACCCCTGGAGCAAGGCAAGTTCTGAAAATACATATACACACATCTATTTCATCAAATAAGGGATGAGACAGTGAATGATGTGMAGCAGAAGCTATTTTGACACTTATCTCATTGAAAAAAGTGGTTAAGGAGAACTGACTTACATAATAATTTSATCTTTTAATACTGTTGAGGTCAGTCAAATTTGCAGACCAAAGCTCTYGCTGATATTGAGGCAGTGACTCCTTACACATCACATTATCAGAGGACATATGAAGGGAAAAAGGGATTCTTGGGTCAAATGTGTTCTTTAACCCTCTGACCCCCTTCTGGAAGCATATCCCCCTCACTCCTTTTACCTCCCTGYTGGCTCTCCCAAAGAGAACACAGCACTGGAAACTCTCTTAACAAAGCTCTTCTGCTCTGCAGGAAGSAGACTCTGTGCAATTCTTGTCTGAAATGAAAACAAACATGCACAGAGTGTGGAGTGAAGGCAGGGATGCCCTCAGTTTTGGGAAAGAGCTTCAGTGGGAAGCAGTGGGAATCTGAAGCCTGTGGATGAGCCTAGGGATAGTTTATGTTACTCATCTGCAGTCTTCASGGAGTCAGCAACTGCTGCTCTTTTGGGGTAAAAGGGAACTTCCTCAGGCCAGGAACATCTGCAGGACTGGTTCAGAGGTGCAGGAAGAGGGCAGCAATGGTGCTGCTCCCTCTGGAAATGCAGAAGTGCTTTATCAAGTTTGCTGTGTTCCCTTTTTCAATATCATCCAACAGGAACTCAGGTCCCACGGCACTTTAGGGATGAGGTTTTCAGGCAGGCTTTCCATTCACTGTTAATGAAGAACTGCCATGATCAATCCCAGCTCAGACCCAGCTCTGATGAGAGATTTCTGTGCTGCACAGCCCCAGGCACAGCATCCTTGGCAAATGCACAGGGCAGTGCTGCCCTGCTGACACCCCGTGCCATCCCTGCTGCTGAAACCTCACTCTGACACTCATGGAGCCTCTCCCCACAATGGAGAAAATGTGTGTGCAAGCAACTCGCCTGAAAATCGCTGTTTGGGTGGGCGTTGAGTGAGAATTCTGAAGGAAGTGCTTGCTGCTGCTCGAGAGGGAGCTCACCAGCCCACTCTCCCTGAGAGCAAGTGGAAAATGAGACACCAAATGTCAGCTGAAAACGTCTGGCACTACTACGCTGCAGCCTGAGCCTAAATTCCTCCTGCAGCCACTCCAAGCACTGGAAGCTAGTTTTTTCCACATAAACTGCACAAAAAATACCCTTCCTATATTAGCTGCTTCACCAAGGGGAAAAAAAGAAATGGAACATGGTGAAAAAAATTACATTCGCTTCTCTTCCCAGGCACAAAATAGGCTTGCTGAACACAGTAATTTATTAATTTTAAATGTCCCTATGCAAATCAGTTCCCTGGAATAAGATAAAATCCACTTTCCTTTTTAAAAATAATCTAGGGCTTTTTATGTTTGAGATGATGGCAAGATGTCCTAGTGCACTTTGAAAAAAAATAATGTGCTCTGTCTTTGCAGCAATGCATCGTAATTATTCAGCCTGCTGCTGWAATTAATAATAGAAACCAATGAATTAAGACACTAATAATCCCCAGATGTTCAAATGGAGAACAAAATGCTTTCAGCTTGTCAGCATATATATGGGGGCTATGCTATATATGTTAAAGCTGTTGCTGAACTTCGGAAATCAAGAAGCACTTTTTATTTACAACATCTGTGAATGTATCTTCCTCCTTTGAGAAAGCTGATTGAAATCAAGCAACTTGTTAATCACTTCCCTGCACATCACAAGGCCATTTGTCTACTCAAAACTAAACGGGACTGTTTTCCTTTTTTTTTTTTTTTTTTTTTTTTTTTTTTTTTTTTTTTTTTTTTTTTTTTTTTTTTTTTTTTTACAGTGCCTGTTCTCCCCTGGCATTCACAGATGTCTGGCCCCCAAAAGCCAAGGTTTCTGCACATACAAGAAGGTGCTGCCAAGGAGTTACTGCAATAAGGGTGAAACAGCCCCAAATTGCACAGGGATACAGTACACAGCAGTGACTGCTGCTCACACATCTGAACAAACTGAAAGATGAGAAAAAAACACCACATGGGCGAAGGTGYTGCTCCAAAGCAGCATTTTCTCCATGTCCAGGTGCTCACATTAGACTCAGCTCCTCCCTGGGGGGATTGCTTTATTCAGGGAGGAAAGGCAGGCTGCTCACTTTGTCCGATTGAATGAATCTGTGTTAACCCCATTCTTAAAACAGACTAAAYCCCTCTTTGTGCTAGCTCAGCTACTCTTTGTTTTTGGCAAGCTGTTCAGATCCTCCAGCCTAAGAGAGATGCCACCAGCCCCTTGGGAGCAGCATCCACGCCCTTCAGAAAGCAGCAGAGTAAAGAAATAAAGTCATAGTTTATCTCCTCGCATATGATCTCCTTAGGCAGCTCATGACAGAGCCCTTAGAGGATGAGTTAACCTTATTATTATTGTAATTCTGTGTTGAAAAAGGGTTGGTGTCAGTTCAGAGATTTGTGAGGTTCCCTCCAATTAGGCTGCGTGCCCGAAGGCAGAGGGGTGAGTGCTGGATCCATCACAGCSAGCAGAGCGGGTGTGAATTTCTCGGTGAGAAATTCCTCCCCACAGCTCAGCTGAAGGCTTGTTTTCTCTCCCATCCACCTCTCCTCCAGCTACTCATTAGTGCCAGTGCTGGAGGGGGGAAAAAATGGACAGGCACAACCAGATCAGGGCTCCTTTCTATGTCCTCTGCTCTGAAAAAGCATGCCTTAGAGTTTCATTTTACTGTTTAATACCAGATTAAACAGAGATGGAAATACCACCCCAGTATGTGATGTTAGCAGCAGCAGATGATTCTTTCTATCACCAAATTGTGTCTCCTTCAAGGAAAGCAGCATGGATCTGCAGAGGGTGCTGAGGATGGACCCTGCCAGAGGAACATCTCTGTGTTCAGTGCTTCCTTTGGGGTACAGGGGACAGAGCAGCATCCCTCCTGCACAGCCCCAGCAGCACACACACCATTCCCACCCACCAGCAGCTCCTCACAGCCCTTCCCAGCCCAGCACTGCAGTGATGCAGCAATGTTAGTTAAATTCCTTAAGTGGTGATTAAGGAACAAAACTCCCTGAACTTGACCAAGCAGCGCCCTGCTGTTTCTGCTTTGTGTGCCACTATGCAATTTCTATATCTCCAAGCAGCCTGGCTAGTGCAGCACTCCAGAGCAGCTTATTTATATGTAGATATGGCTATATGACATTTCCAAATGCCATACATTTGCATATGAAGGTCCCACTTTTTTTTTCCCCCACTTCAAGTAAACAGAGTCTGCTGCGATGCCAAAGCAGAGCTTTCACTCACTGGAGCTGACTGAGAACCATCCTCCTTAAGCAGCTTAAAACCCCCCTGAAACACYTAATTTTCATAATTTGGCAGCCTTGGCTATCAATAGTGTCTCTGGGTGGGTCTTGTGATTTATAGCTGTACCTTTGATACCAAACAGAGCGCAGAGAGCAAACCTGCAAGACCTTAGGATTTCATATCAAATGGCTACAGATAATCTGCAATACCAATCGATATTTGCAAATAGGCCTCAGACACATGATGGAAGCTTCTGGTCATCTTAAAAAAGCCTGTGGGTCACATTCATTAYAGCTATGAAGATAGTATTGATTTTTGTCACCGATTCTCCACTTGAAAACGAGAGCAGGAGCAYGCTGAGGAGCTCTGAAACTGCAAAGCTCACACAAAACCACAACCTTATGTAACACCAGGAAAGCCAAGTGGACATTATATATTCAGCTTTCYTGTCAAAGGAAGATAAGGCTGAGGCAGATGGTATGTGGGCAAAGTTTCAACCTGAATACATTGCCTTCTAAAAACCAACAGTGCTATGCAAACAGCCTGATTTTTGTGGCACGAGGCCAGTGAACATGTTACCTGCACATCGAGGTATGTGCTATGGAGGAGCTGGAAGAGCTTCCCATTGGCAAGGGGGAGAAAAAGGAGACCCTCAGTACTTCTCCTGTGGCACCCTGCACTAGCAGCATGAATTATGCACAATGCCCAGCCTGTGCAYGCTGCTGCTGAGGGAAACCTCTGCCCCCAGGGCTGGGAAATACTGGGCAGAGGATGAGCTCTGCCTGGCTCTGCCTGCTCTCAGGAGACTGTGACAGGAGCTTCCTGACTGTGACAACAGGCACAACAACACCCAGGAGTCACCCTCACCATGGTCTCACCCCCCATTGCATTTCCAGAGCACCTCATTCTCCGCTGGGAGCATCAACGGTGACAAATGGGATGAGGTGCCAGAAAGCTGATAAATACTTTTGATATGGCTCTAAAAATAGTGACGGGATATTTGTATCCTTCTGACACTTCTTGAAAAGTAGATGGATATGCATGACCTCAGTTTTTAAGAGGGGTGTCAGGAATATTGATGTGCRGAGGGAGCGGGATCATTTGGCTGGCGTTGCCCTGGGGACAGCCCCATGACTGATGATGTCTCCATCTCCCAGCTGAGGGTGTGCTCGAGCAGGGAGCCCATCCAGAAAAAAACAGGGATTCATCTCACCCACCCTCTTTTCCTTGATGGTGATGATGAAATGGGAGAAATGGGGTGCAAGTGCTCTTGGAGCAGCATTGCTGTGCCCKAAGTCACACCCTATGCAATTCCTGCCAGGTGAACTCTGTACCATGTATGACTGAGCCTGGCATCTTCCTGGGATCACACCTATAAATTTAATTTGGTACTCCCAACCCCTCCCCCTGGAAATGTGGAAGTCAAAACCAGTTTTTTCTTTGTCCCTCCAATCTCTACAWTTTTTTCCTCCAAATTCAAATTACAATTCCTTCAAAGGCCTCCAATCCCAGGTGCCCTGAAGTTATCCCTTCTTTGGCACGTATGCAGGTGGCCTGCAGGAATTTAAGTACTGGTGCAGTTCTTCCAAGTTTTAAGGATTACACTAATAAAAAATTGCTTTTAAGCAATTAAACTGCAGATTAACAAAGCACTCCTCCAGTTTGTATGGAGATGCACTTACAGCCCGTACCCACCTGGTCATACTGAGAACAGGCACATCTTACACAACACAGAGCTGCATTTCCATCCATCCTCRCCCCTTCAGCTGCATGCCTGGCTTTTACTGGCAGAAATATCRGGCAGGCAATCAATGAAACAAAGCAGGAACTTCCTTTGGAGAAATGCTGCACATAAAAGCACACCCTAATCCAATTACCAGGCTGCCCCCTAATTTCCAACAAAAACTCCAGGTCTGAATGGATTGTTTTCCACAGAGAAGAAGTGTTTGAAAAGGTCTCTGACTTACATGTAGCRTTGTGAGACTTTACTTTTTGGTTGCACACTTCAAACAAACTCAAAAAATTACAGCTGAAAGCAAGTAGGAATGGCAGAGTTGTCAGAGAGGTTTGATGGAAGGCACGGAGACGAAAAGGTTACCCAGGTACGTGACAGTGCTGACAAGTAGGTCAGGGATGTCATTTTGGCTACAAAGCGTTTCCTTCAGTCCTTTTGACAATCTGAAGGTTTTACAGTCCTAGTTTTGCAGTGATTTTATATTCAGTTTTGATTACTAAAAGCAGTCTTTTTTTTTTTTTTTCTTTTTTTTATATTCAGTTTTGATTACTAAAAGCAGTCTTTTTTTTTTTTCTCCTTTTTTTTTTTAGGGCACATGTTGGCAAGATGCTGCCAAGCTGAAGTGTGACACCCATTTGGCTCCCTTCCCTCCTTTCTTTTTTCCAAGGTAGCATCTGTGCTTGTAAAAACATGCTGCCCGAGAGGATTCATCCAGGAAACTAAAGAAAGAGCTGCAGAATTTGGGGGAAGTGTGTGTGAGAAAATAGGAGACTGAAATAAAAATACTTGACTCCTATACATGGTATTTTTGTACACTTCCTGAACCACATGCCTGGCAAACCCCTTGTGAATATCCTGGTTATTTCAGTTGCCAGAGCATGACCCTGAATGGCCTGTGACTACTCAGAGATATGTCTGMTGTTGGCTAAAAGCATGGTTTCAGCCATACTTTTCACTGCTTTTGTTCAAGCTATACAGGAAAGTTTTGTTACGCTCAGAAACATTTTATTGGCATGTTGCAAACCCGTGATCACTCCTCCATACAAATCAAACACTACACTTGCTGAGGGATGAATCCTGCATGGTTTGATGCTATTTTTATTGACCCCTTTGCCCTGAGTCCTGCACTGTAAAACTGTGATGGCAATGGGTCCACACACTACTACAACTTTGCTTTTTGTTTCAGCCCAGTTCAATTGTTAAAATCTTTTGTGGCTGCTCAGAGGGTTGGCTTTTAGCTGACTGTATGTTCAAAATTCCTACTTGGTAAACAGGAGCATACCAAGCAGTGTGCTCCCTTTCCCATGCCTGAAGCTGGACAGATATCCCCTACTATTCCCAATTTTAAGTGTAGGAGGAAATGGTAAAAGGATATAAAATGCCACTGCAGCAAACCCTGCTACGTTCCTACACCGATTTTACCCAAGATGCAGTTTCCATCTCTTATGAAACTGTGCAATGGAGGGACAGAGCCAAAACCCCTATATGATGGGACAGAAAGCAAGCACAGAGAATGCCCTGCAATTTCCTTCCATAAAGAGTGGAACAGCTTCTCCACGCCCCAGAGGTCCTGGCATTCATCACTGGTCACACAGCTCATTCTGGAGCACAGACAGAAAAGTCCATTAAGAACACCTTGTGGTTTTTTTTATAAATGAATACCTGCTTTTGCTATTTTTATACACCTGTTATTATTGTCTTGCAGCAGTGCCACAGAAGTCAGCTGTAAAGATGGCATTTGTGAAAATAAAGGGTTTGGTGTTTTACACTCCCACGGCTAATATTGAAAGTGGGAGTAGCTGAATGAAAAGGAAAGGGCAATTCTGGGAAATGGAAAATTTACTAAGAATAAAAATGGATGAAAAAGCCATACAGAGAAATCTCAAAGCCATTACACTCAATGGCCATTTTCCCACTACTTTCAGCAAGGCCAGAATTTTACCTACTGCCTCTTTAAATCCTWTTGACTCTTATAACAGTATTTTAAACCAAACAGCTGACATCCTTCTGCCCAGCCAAGGCCTTTTACATCACTGAAATKCAGGATAGAAAAAAATCTGCAGTGCCAGATGTATCTAAAAACATCACAGTTCTTGTTGAGGCAATCTGCAGAGGAAAATGTTTAGCATTTATCATGCCTGACAAAACACTAATAGTTTATCAGTTTTGATATTATAGACTAATAACAAGCTTTTTCACAGCTACTTCATTTGCAGAGCATGGAGACAGGCTATGCTATTGTTACTTAATTTTAGAACAGTGCTTTTTATTTAATCCTTTCCCATCCTGGCTRGATGGAAGCACATTTCCATTATTAAATGAAATTGTAAATTAAATACTCTAGGGAAGGAGTGTTTTTGAYGTGTACCTGACACAGAGCTAAACCACAGATAAAATAAGAGGGAGATTAAAACCACAGGAAGAGTTTTAAATTTTTTTTCCCCTTCTGGAAAATACTTTACCATTATGTAATGCTGTGTAAAATGGCTAAGGCTTGTGACAGCAGCAGTAGGCAAAGCAGTGCATTTGGATTCAGCACTGATAATGTTCTGACATGCACTGCCACTGGTTCTCTAATAGAACATTTTGTTTACAGTTGTTGCATTTCCAAGAAGAGAGTTTCAKGCTCACTTAATGCTCATGGGTATGAGGTAAAATGACAGCCCAAGTGTGTAAGAAATCACCTTTCTAGGTAGGTAAATGCTGCTTTTCAAACCTAAGTTATTAAGAGCACTTCTGCTTGCTTGGTGGTACAGATGTGCTCCTCAAACTTCCAAGGCTGGGTTTATCCTGAATGCACAGGAATGTTTCTAAGAATGGGAGAAGGCACAGCTGAAATTCAAAATGCTGCATCTCCCACTGAAACTCGTACTTCCTCTAAACCATTTCCATTTTCCTTAGCAAACAAGTTTCTGTCACTGCTGGTTTCCAGCACTAAATGTTGATTTGRAAAGAATGTTCTGTTGAATTGCTCAATCAGGGCAAGGTGTGGCTTCGAGCAGGGGTATTCAGTGGAGAAGGTAAATTCACCTTTGAGCAGGAGTACCCAATCTATCAGGTTCTTTCTCAATGGAAAGATGTGGAACCATCAACCAATTTACTTTCTTCACTCAAATCTATTAAACCAGGCAAAATTTGCCACTTGTCTCCATCTAATTTTGAAGGTCTGCTAATAAAAATAGATGTACACCAGCTCCTTCTTTTCTTCCCCAACCGTATTTCCTTTCATTCCACCAGATTCATTTATACTCCTGAAACCAGGTGAAAGCCTTTGTTATCTGAAGGCTCAGGTTACCCYTGCATGTGTCTAAATGATCAAATTATCTTGTGTTTGTATTGCAATTTGACACGATGAAACTCCTACAAAAGGGGATGTTTCAGTCAGTTCTAAGTAGCAACTTTCCTCACGGTTACAACTTATTTATTACAACTGTCACACGCTTTCATCTTGTGGTATTTTGATATCTAACATTTCATAAAGAATGCCAAAACATCCCATGAAACAAAATTCTGAGGAAATTCAGTTCTATGAATATTTCAAAATAWTTTTTTTTTCAACATTTCAGACTAGATCAAACACAAATATTTAAATGTTGATGTTTCCTGAAAACGGATATTCTAGCATCTCATTAAAAGTTTAACTCTCAAATCCTTGGGAAGGCTCTGTAATTCCTAACAGCAAGTTTACAGAAACTAGGCCTAAAATAGAGCTGCTGGGCATAAAAATACTCTGTGGTACTCCTTAATATCTGTCAACTAAATCAAATTAGTGTAGTGGATGGCAAACAGCTGCTGTGCACCATCTTGAACAGTATCCTTCAAGGATGACTCTTGAGATGATCAAAGTGCCTGAAGCCCAGAGGAAGGATGGAACCAAGAGTGAGGGAAATTCCTCCCCAGAGCCAGAAAACAGGATTGATTTTCCATCCTATGCCTTGGGGAAGATTGATAGAGTCTTGACTCAGATCACCCCCTTTTTTTTTTTTTTTTCTTTCCTTTCTTCTAGGGGAAGCAGGGGAGTTGAGAGAGGAAGGAAGATGATACCAAGAGGGAAATGCCTTCAGGGTGTCAAAATGCTAAAACAGCTGGTCTCTGCCATCCTYTGGGCACGTGGATGAAGTGCTGGGGGTTACAGCCTGATCCCAACAACAGCAGCAAGCTGCCAGCACCCCAGGAGTCACAGTGCCACCACCCTCTGTCACCCTGTGTCTCTGCCTGTACCTTCAGGCTTTTGTGGGTCYGACAGAGGAAGGGCTGCACAGCTCTTCTGGACCCCACAGGGAAAATAATTTAAGYTTCTCTATAACTTCTGGTGTGCACTGGGTCTGGGGCTGCCTGCAGGAAATTTAAGCACAGATCTGTGAAGCCACTTCATGGCYTGCATTGTTAGGTGGACTTCACACWGAACTCTGCTATTGCAGGCAGGGGATATCTCCTCTGAAAAGTGGCAAAGATGCAGTATTAACTAGGTGCTACAATGTGATTTAGTCAGATATAAAAAGACCTTTTAGGATAACTGTAAATCCTTTCACAGTGGTGGAGGCTGCAGCCAGGAATTATGGTGCATATTCCATATATCCATGGCAGCTGAACACTGGCTCTAGATCATGTTGCTTCGTTCCCATAAACTCTGAAAACAAAGGTTAGGAAAAACAAATTTTGGGAGTAGCTTTCACTAGAGCATAACAGCTAAAATGATTGCAAACCATAAAAGTGATTTTCCGAGGGTCCCTACCCTTCCTCTGGGTATCCCTTGCCATTAGATGTCCTATTCAGGAAGTCCTGGTCAAAGACAGTTTGAGAAACCAGGCACACTTTATMTTGTGTTGAGTTTTAGGGATCACATTTTTATGTGTAAGCAGGAAGGTGTCTTTCTTTTCTGCAAGCTTTACCCCCCTTTGACCTTTCCCCTTCTTCTGATCCAAACACAGACACTGAGCAGAGGACARAAAGATCAGCAGGCACTGAAAGGCTCAGATTTGCTCGTGGAGATGGGTTCTTGTGCTCCAAATAAGACCAGACATATGTAAATTATACATTACGTGTTTATGGGACACAAATGGAGGGATCTGCAGAAATGCCTGCATGAACTCAGGTCTGCTCATCTCTATYGCACACAGAATTTCTGTTTTTATCCGTAACCTTTAAGAGAACAAAATGTTACAGAAGACTGCTAACATGACAGCAGAAGGGGAAAACCAACAAGCAAGGCACACAGCCTTGGGCAAGCAGAAGAAGTGTTTGGAGCAAGTTTATGAATTTCACACAGTTCTGGTGGAAACCCCAGATGAAAAAAAATCTACTTGGATTACAAACTCCACCCTCACCCCAAATCTTAAGGAAGTTTTACACCTGAACTCCTTTATAGGACTTCAATGCTTCAAGGATGCTGACAATAGTAAAATAGTCTGGTCTGATTTTGTATTTTTTAGGCTGCTCAGTCCAATATTGGTGTTACAAGTTGGAACTTGCTTTTTCCTGCTTGTTTCCTACAGATCAAATTCTTAGCCTGGATTTACCGAATTTTCAGGCTACCCAGCTTTAATGCAAATCAAATAGCTTTACTTTATAATGTTCACTCACAACAATACTGARTTTATTTATTATGGGAAGAAAGCACAAACAAATTCTGCAACTTTTGATTCACATTCATTAGYGACTAAATTAAGGGCTAAGCTTTAGAGGCACAAATGGAAATGTTCTTCCTCCTTGAGCTACATCAGTCTAGGTAAAGAGATGCCTAGCAGTTCACCTGAGACCTAATTTAAGT